TGTATGTATATTGCTTTGACTAAGAAAAGGACTTAGTGTCTCCCCATATATCCAGATTGGCACCTCAAATAGGCACAATGAAAATGGAGTGATTGTTTGTTGTAGAGAACATAGTAACAACACAGTCACAGAAATGAGGAGAGTTACCCTCCTTTGGGTATTTTGCATATGGCCATGGCAGAAGAACTTTCCTTTTTTGGTTCCCTGAGAATGAATTTTTAGTTTTTAAACTTTTATTGGGGAACAGTGTGTTTTTCCAGGACCCATCAGCTCCAAGTCAAGTAGTTGTTTCAATCTAGTTGTGGAGGGCGCAGCTCAGTGGCCCATGTGGGGATCAAACCGGCAACCTAGGTGTTATGAGTACTGTGCTCTAACCAACTGTGCTAACCGGCCGCCCCTCTGAGAATACATTCTTATACCATTTCTTTTTTTGCCAGAACCTGTGTTTTCAGTGTTCAACTCATCTTTAATTTCAGCTCCCTTATTGACAGAACTTGGCCTAGCTTTATCCTAACACTGGAAGGAAGGAAGGCGTTGGGAAGGCAGGCCAGTTGTGGGATTCTGGCCTAGTCACTTAACAGTTTTGTGCCTGGGCTCGTTTCTTAAGCTCTGTTTCCTCACCTGAAAATGGAGAAAACTCTTTTTGCCTCATAGGATTGTGTGAAGAATAAAGGAGTAACTTAGTACACAAAGTACCTGGCGCATAGTAATTGCTAAAGAAAATTTAAATTAAATATAAAAGAACACTATGGTTAACTCTTGGTTTAGGAGAGGAGCCCTGTAATGTTGGCTCTGGGCCCTACAGATGAACCATTCTGATGTGGCAAGAGCTCTGGGAGATGAAGGGAGTGCAGAAATATTCCAGGAAGTTTTCTGGTTTTAGCAGAAGTTCTTATTGTATTTTGGGGACAGTGTCTTCTGATTTGACTGCAGAGCTCTGCACATTTGCAGAGACCCAGATCCTGTAATGTTTTATGCACAAGAATCGATAAAAGCTCTTAGCTAATGTAGGTTCCATGTCCAAACACAATCAGAACCATTCCTCACATCCCAGATAATGTAGAATAATGGATTCAGGGTTAACAGGATTACCTTTTACTCTAAGACTCCTGTGTGCCTTGTGGCGATCACTCTTTTAAGCCAGGGACCTGGGGCCAGAGCTCTGCCTCTGTGACAGGCTAACACATTCTCTAACTCAAAATCGAGCCCTTTGGTAATGGTCCTCCTTGGAGGATGTTTACATTAGGGGATGCTGAGCTGTGAAATTCTTAGGATGCATGGTCTTGTCTCATTTTATGAACTTCTTCGGGTTCTTTGGTTCTTGGTGGGCTCTCTAATGCCTAGTTCTGGTCAGTGGTCTGTAATTCACACAATGTACACTTGAAGGAAATATGTGCTGGGGGCATGTGGGAGTTAATGAGGTCAAGGCAGCCTCTCATTTATTTGCTCTCTTCCTTAGAATCATCTTTTTTTTCTCTCTTTTTTTTAAAAAAGATTTTATTGGGGAATTGGGGGAGGGGAACAGTGTTGGGGAATTGGGGAGAGGGAATAGCAAAGCTGTTGTCCTTCAATCTCAGTTGTGGAAGATGCAGCTAGCTCAGCTTCAAGTCCAGTTGCAACCTGGCTGCCCGTCGGCAGCTCGTGACCACTCAGCTCAAGGTGCCGTGCTCAATCCCAGTTGCAGGTGGGCTCAATCCCATGCTGGAGTCGAACCGAAAACCTTGTTGTTAGGAGCATGTGCTCTCACCAGCTGAGCCATCCTGCCACCTGTTGGCAGCTCAGTGGCAGCTCAGCTCAGGCGCAGCTCACTGGCCCATGTGGGAATCGAACCGGCAGCCCTGTTGCTCAGAGCTCACACTCTTAAGCTAACCCTTAATCAACTGAGCCACTCGGCCAGCCCAAAATAATTTTTTAATGCTTCTGGATCTGACTGAGGGTTGAGGAGAAAGGGGATTAGCTGAGGAGCTGCCAGGGGCTGATAAGGTGGGGGGACAGTGCAGGCAGGAATGAGGGTAGGAGAGATAAAGCAGATAACAGGGCCTGAGAATGAGGAAGGGGGTAAGTAAAACTTTGACTGATTAGGCCTTGGTAAAATAGTAGGGAAACCAAATCTAGATGTCAAGCCAGTAACCCCTGTGGGACAGGAGGGAGGGCAGGGAGCTGAAGATCCACAGGTTATAGTGGGGTTGTGCATTAAATAGATGCTGCATTAACAACTTCAAGGAAGCATACGAGTATCTGTTTTTCAGGGACAGAGGGATGCAAGGGGACCCAGTGATCAGCTGCATGTTTAATGCTGATAGGAGGAGTTAGTATCAGCAACTTAATAGAAAAACCTTATAATAGAAAAATCTACAGTCTCTACAGCTGTTATTGTTTATTTCTCATGTTTCTTCAAAGCCACACCAGCTATCTAGGACTATCCCACCCAGTTGCCTCACCTTTTAAAAGCCCAGGTACAACATTTAGAAGGAAGTTAAGAAAAAAGGCTTTGAACAGTCATAATGGATGGCCAAAGCCCTACACTGGGTCATGGGGCATGGGTCATGGGCCGCTCTGCTCTCATGCACAGCCCGGTTAGACTTCAGTGAGCTGGAGCTAGCTGGGACCGCTGAGCTGCTCTAAACCCAAGTTCTTCAGTGAGTTATTGAAAGGATTCAGGGGATGTTAACAAAAATAAAAAGTAGGAAGTACAGACGAGCCTTGCAGCCACTAGAAAGCCACCAAGCATTTGGGATTGCACAGTTTCTGGTCTGCCTCTCCCCAGGCCGCTGCCCTGATTTCTTTGTAGGCCAGCTTCGTCTCCTTCTGCAGACCCCCACAGTCCCATTACTTGATCTTGTGCTTGGCATTTGCTTCTCACGATGCTCCCATTACCTTGCCTTTTGCTGTAGGGTCCACCACCAGCTCAACTTTAGTCTTTTTCATAGTCGCAATTTTGAAAGTGTCTGATTGGTCTAGCTTCCTTATTTATGTGGGAGTTGCTTTTAAATCAGAATTCCACTCTTTGTCCATCTGGGAGGCCCAAGTGTGTGAGTGGATGGGGTAGTGGCAGGTTGGGCAGGTAGAATGACTTGCCTGTTTGAGTCCCATTGGAGGTTTGCAAACCATCTCCCAAAGGATTTAAAGCATCAATAGAACCCCACATCCCCTCACTAGTCGGCAGATTGCTGTGGCTGAAGCGCAGGATGCATGGGGTGGAGTGGCAAGAGGGGGCTGGTCAGCTAGGAAGGGACATGAGACTTGGGTCCCTGGGGTCTTTGCCTGGGCCACAGAAATCCATTAAGTATGTTTAGACAGATTACTTGGTGAACGATCTATCTCTCACTGAAGGTTCGGCTTGGAGTAAAAGGAGGAAGATGAGAGGCTGGCTCGAGAGAGTTGGAGAGTGGCAGCCTCCATCCTGGTAAGGAGACAGATGGATCTGCAGCCCAGTAGTCCCCATTGCCTGAGAGCACCTTGCTCCTGTTCCCTGGGGAAGGCTCCTTACTGGCAGGCTCCCAGGTGGCTGCCAGCTCAGCTGTGTTTGTAGGTAGTGATCTCCCCACAGCCTGGCTCACTCTCCCCACAGCAGGTCTGGCTCCTGGTGTTTTGTTGGCATTAATTATAGACGGCAGCAAAGTGCTCAAATGCTGCAAGCAACTTTTTATTTTTCCATCTCACCTGATGCCTTTGTTGTTTGCTCTGAATCTTTGTTAGACCTTGACATTTCCATCCCCTCACATGACTTGTTTCAGCTTATTTCATCTGATGTTAGTGTTAGTTCCTATCGGCATCTACACTCTCGCAGGATGATGCTCGTTTGTGTGGCAGGGTCTCTTTCTCCTGGACACCGTCCTTGTGCATAACCACTCCTTCTCTGATCCTCAGTGGATTTCTCACTTTTCCCCTCCTTAGCAATTTTTACTCATGTACCCCGCCCTCCCCAAGCTTGATCAGGGGAGATCATTTTATTATCATGGATCTTACCTTAGACTTGCGTTGAGTTAAGTAGGGGCATGAAATATGAAAACCCACACTCCTTGAAGGCTACACTCATTTCCACCAAAAATGTTACACATGAGAAATTTGGAAATTTTTTCACCCAGCAATTTGACTTCTAAGACTGTGTGTTAAGGAAATAACCATGGATTTCCTCCAGAGATTACGTTTTACAAAGCACTATTTGTAACTAGCAAAAAACATTGGAAATGACTTAAATGTCCAGCCTTTGGGGATGGGGTACAATTTATGATATAGCCACATTGCCTGGCTTAATCACATCTTTGTAAAAAATATGGATAATAAAATAAAACCAGGAAGGGTGTGTTATCTGTAGTTATCTTGAGTGGAGAAAGAATAGGCATCATTTCTCCTTCTTTGGACTTAATTATATTTTCTAAAATTTCTAGATTGAACATAAATTTTGTTGGCATTAGGAAAAACAACAATTACTTTAAAAAGAAATGCTATTCACCCAGACAGCTGTAAAAATATATGGGTTGAAAATTTAGGCTCAGTTTAAAATGCTTCCCTAATAAATTAGAAATTGAATTCACATTTGTAACATTATAAATTACGTACTATAGGTCAAAGGGAGTCTGTGAACGAGTTTGATGTATTAGTTGATTCAAATCTAGCCTTGTCCACAAGCCTTATCTAAACTTAAGATGTGGGGCCGGAAGTGTAGTCTTCTTACTCTTGCTTTTCTTAAGAATGACAGCCAGCAAGTGGCACCAGGATTCAGTGACTGTAGTAGTTTGCTTTCCTTAATCTACGTTTTACTCTGAAATTGCTCAGCTCCAGAAGGAGTAGGTCTGGTGAATAGATGGCCAGTTGGAGCCCTGGGAGGAAGGCTGGCTCCTTCAGGTGAGGCTGTACTTCTGGAAGGGGCTGTGAAGAGGTAGGAGTGACCAGGGCTGGGAGTGGGAGGAGCGAGGGTGCTTACCCTCCTGAGTGTGTTAACATATGTGCCTCTGGTGCTCCGCAGGCAACTTTGCTTTGCTTTTTTTTCTGTGCAGGCAAGGTAGAGCCAATTGTGCAGGGCTCTGTAGCCAGCATTCCAGAGAGAGGCAGTGAAGTCATGGAGCCCAACTGAAGTGAACTGGCTGTCTTGAAACTGCCCCAGCCCTGGTGCCAGGTCTCTGTCCTAGTGCTGAGGTAAGACCCCTTGAGTCTCAGCTTGGAGACAGAGGGCAGAATGCCTCTTGTTGGTGTGTGTGTGTGTGTGTGTGTGTGTGTGTATGTAAGTATGTAAACCTCCTCCCCTAAGGCTCAGGAAAGAAGGAGCTGTTGTTCCTGGTTCAGTCAAACCACCCAATTCTACCTCAGCCCATTGGGAGGCAAGGTCATTTGGAGGCTAAAGAGGCTTTGGTTTTTCAGAGCAGGTCTTTTGGGATCTTAACAGGGAGTGGTATTTTCTCAATTGCTGGTGAAATGTGAACTCCAAGGGGAGTAAATTTATTCTCTAGATAAGACTGTACTTAATTCAGGTGAATGCTTAACTTAGGTGCACCTGTTCTGTTCTGCAAGGGAAGTCAAGCTCTTAGGAAGCGTTTCCTACCCTTCCCCTCCCTCTCCCCCTTTTTCCCCTCTCATCCTCTCCCCGCCCCCATCTCTCCCTTGCCACCCCTTCCCATCCCCCTCCTCTCCCTCACCCTCTGTCTCTCTCTCCAACCCAAGGGAACAGAGTGACAGAAATTATGTGGGGGATGTTATTGCAAAACATTCTACTAAGCTCACTAAAAAATGACTAATTACCTAGCTATGTTCTGATTATAAAGGTAATATGTGCTCATAGACATTTGGAAAACTACTGAGTGGAAGAAAATAAAACATGTCTGCAGTCCCACCACTGTCAACAGCTGTCCAGGTCATTTTCGTTAAGGTTAATCTTTAAGCTAAGCCCTCACAGCGTGTTGACTCTTCGTGCACGGAAATAGAGTGATGAGGCAGGAAGAACACTCACTCAGGAGCCAGGAGAACTTGCTTCTAGCCTGCAGTAGGTGCTCACTAAGCATTCCTGGAATGAATGAATGAGTGAGATTTCTGCTCTTATTAGCCCATCAGACAGACGTGAGGGTCCCATAAGACAGTGAAAATGAAATCTTTTGCATACTGTGAGGCTCGCGGCCCATGGAGGGAGGGGTTTAATTAGTGGAGAGAAATTGCTGGCAGTCCCTCTTTTGGCCCTCCCTCCTTGGGGGAGTCTGTGAATTACTGACAGCCTTTCATGAGAGCAGAGGAAAACTCTCCATTTACTGACCAACATTTGTGGCAAATTTCCTGTCTGGAAAAATCAAGACGTCTGTCAGAGAGAAGTGTGAAAAGGAAGCCCCAGCGCTACTATTTGTGAGAACTAGGACTGAAATTAGAGCTTTTGACTCATAAGTTCTAATGGGATGTGTGTGTGGGAAGTTGGAGGGGTAGAGGAGAAAGGGGACTTCCTGCCAAATGTGAAATTTAAACAAAAGCCTCTTTCTTCAAGGCCCTGCTGTCAGCAGATTAGAGCTAATTAAATTAGCATAATGGACCCGCATCCTCTGCCCTTCTCCCTTTATTTTCTGAACCTTTTGGGTCCTTCTCACCTCCTTCTTGTGTACCCCGAAGGAGGGGATGAGTGAAGGGGAGGCATCAGTTAAGCACCAGTTTACTCTGTAGAGTTGTAGTTGAGAAAATTATGAAGGATAACAGGACTGTAGAAGCCATCTGGTCCTACACCCTCATTTTAAGAATCCAGGTCACACAGCCAGTGATTTTCGTGCCTGTGGTGAAGGTATGTTCTCCTGGGGAGGCAGGGAACCAAGCTGAGGGGATGGGGATGGGGCACTGCCCTGGATGCCACCGTCATTGAGCCCTTGCATATGACTGGCAAATAGACATGGTGGATGGTGTCCTGGTGCCAGCCCTGGTTCTACCCTTCTCAGTCCGTCCCTTGCATCTGCTTCCACAGCCCCAATGCCTTTCTTGAGGTGACCCTCTGGTGTGCTTGGAATTAAGCCCCCTTCCTCACCAGGGGCTTGGTTCTCCAGGTCAGTGAAATCAGCTGAGATCTTTTTCTGAGGACCTTTAGGCATATGTATGAGGAAGGGAAGGGGAGAGTGTTGATTGAGCTCATGATGGCTCCAGGCACATGCTTTGTGCTCTGTTTGTATGATCTCATTTACTTCTGCAACAACCTAGCAAGGTGGGTATTTCTGACCCCTTGTGGCAGAAATAGAGATTGCGTCTTACACAGGTAAAGAGACTTGCCCAAGATCTCATAGCTCTTAAGCAATAGAGATGTAAACTAAGTCTTTTTGCTCTGTGACCTCTACAGCTTCTCAAAGTCAGTGCTTTTTACAGCAACTACTCACCCACATGGGTGGGAGCTCCCAAATCCAGTTTCAGCAAGCAGGGTCCCTTCTCCCCGGGAACATCATTTCATCTCTGAAGCTCAAAGTGCTTGGAACTTGACAAAGGGCCATACTGTTCCTTTCAACCCCAAGGACCCTACTCCTTGTACAGTAAAATAGCATTGGAGCTGGGAGCATCCCAAGTCCTTTAGTGTAGTTTTCTTCTTCACGTGATGGCCCAGGAGTGAGGTGGCATGCTGTGGCCCCAGGTTCCTCAGCCAGTTCAAGGCAGGGGTCTTCTTAGCCTTGGGACTCTCAATGCTCTCTCCAGGGGAAAAAACTGAGATGGATCTGTTTGGCTGTCTTCTGTGTTTGGGTTAAGAGATTATTCCTCTGGCATGAGAGATTTCATTTAATTCCATAGATATTTACTGAAAGCCTACTGTGTGCACACCCAAATATCTTGGCCCCTGTTTCGGCATACAGCTGTGACGAGGGGAGGAGCTCCCTATATCAGGACAACATATGACATACACCTTCTTCTAACTACTCATCTCTAGCCTTTCCTGAAAGAATTCTAACTGAAGAAATTATGTATCAGTTGGTCTGTGTGTCCCAGGGTTCCCAGGCCTCTGAAAACAGTTTTAAGTGCTCAACCTGCTAACTGGGGAACAAAGCGGTAAATGGGGTCAGGGTCTTTGGAAGATCCCTGCAGAGGGGTAGGGCTGATGTTCTATTTATAGAACATTCTCAAAATGACAAAATTATAGAGATGACAAACAGGGAGGGGGCCAGGCTAGTGTGACAAGGAAGGGGTGACATGAGGTTTGTTTCTGGTTTGTTTCCACTCATCATACTGTACTTTAGGTCCATCCAGGTAGTTGAGAATATCAATAATTTGCTCTTTTTATTGCTGAGTGGTAGCCCATGGCATGGATGAACCACAGTTTCACTATTGACCTATTGAAGGACAGCTTTTGGCTGTTACAGATAAAGTTGCCATGAACAATCGTGTATAGGTTTTTGTGTAGAAATAAAACTTGGTTTTTCTGGGATAAATGCCCAGGAATGTTGTTGCTGAGTTGTACGGTAAGTATATTTTTAATTTTTAAAGAAACTGCCAAACTCATTTTTAGAATGGCTGTACCATTTCACATTCCCACCAGCAATGTAAGAGAGATTCGCTTTTTCCGTCTCCTTACCAGCATTCAGTGTTATTATTTTTAGTTTAGTTCTAAAAGGTGGGCAGTGGTATCTCACAAGGGTCTTAATTTGCATTTGTCTAATGGCTAGCTGTGCGACTCTTACTCTGCTTCTCCGTTCTGACTGTGTGAATCTAGACCTCAGCCTGTACTTTTGAAATGGGAGAAGCTAGAGGACCCCTCCTACCATGTCTGGAGCTGCCCTGGAAGTCTGACTTCCTTTGTCATTTGATCAGATTAGCCAGTTACAGGAGAGCCTTCCTTCTTCATTGTCCTGTGTGGCTCCAGGAAGTTGATATTTTATAGAGCTTCACATTTTTTTTAAGCGGGGTTTTTGTTTTTTT